TGAAAAGATGAAAACGATTTTGAGATTAGCCCTTAGACTTTAATATTTTTCATTTTTATAAACTTCTTTATCGCAATTTAACTAGTTAAAAAACATAAAACATTGATTTAATTAAATTTAAAATAAAATTTTTCTATAAAAAGTCTATCTGTCATATTTTCGTTTATGAAAAAGTCTAATATATAAATAAAAAATTTTTTTTATCAACAAGAGAAAAATGAATTCTTAATAATAAAATCTTGTAAAAGTTAGTGTATAATTGTAAGTGAATAGTTTATTATAGAATTCTACTAAACAAAAAAACATCGTGAAAATACAATTTTGTATTATCAAAATTGATAGCCGGTTAAATTACCTGATAATATGCAATATGAATGATAATATAACAATAACAAGTTTAAAATAACTATAATAAAACTCGAATGATTTATCAAGTAATGTAGAAAAATTTGTAAAAGATAATAACTTATGGAATTGTTTATTTTTTGATACAGTACAAAAAAAAATTTAATTATTGTTTTAATAAATTGCGAAAATAAATATGAAGTACTAAATTAAATAAAAAAAAAAATATTATGTTTTTTAATTACACGTGTATTGCACGGTAAATGACATTTAATTTTAAAATCATAAAATATTTCATTAAAAATATTTTTTAGAATTATATTTAATAACTACGTTTTATGATAAACCTATAATAAGCTAAATAATTTATCGATTAATCTTCAAACAATGAAATGTTATAATTAAAGAAGTTTTTTATAAGAAAAAATTAAATCTGTAAATTGGCATTTTTTACATACATACAGACACATAAATGCATACATGCACACATATATACTTACATGAATGAATGCATACTTCCATACTTACATAAATGAATGTATACTTCCATACTTACATGCATACGTACATGCATACTTACTTACAGAAAAAAAAGAAGAATTATGGCTAGACATTTTAAAGATGGGATTTATTACAAAAAATTGTAAAAAATGTATGTTTTAATCTTCAATACAAATGAATAGACATTTAATAATTTAATAAGACTACATGTTAAATTAAGACGAATACTTAAGAATGATTTTTAAAACGTTTCATTTTTGTCTAATGTAATAGAAAAAGTTTGAAGAAAAATTTATTGGAATTTTCTATTATGCTTTGATACGTAATACATTAGCTTCGTGTAAAGCAAAATTTTATCTTCAAATCTAATAATTGTGCTTAATCATTATTATGTGAAATTCTATTTAATTTCAGGATTGTTTCATCCGTTCGATTTTTAAAATGATAATGATCTCATATTATAAATAAATAATTTGTTTTACTTTAGTTACTTAAATCAGTTATTTATGTTATTTATAGATATGGTATATATATATATATATATATATATATATATATATATATATTTGTACGTTTGTATATAATATAAATGTTATAAATAAAATATAAGTTTGATCTTTTTAACGTTTTTTTTCATCAATAAGCTGTTGATTAATTTTCAAGAATTGAAAATTACTGAAGCACGGACAAATGTACGAATAAATTTTCTTTAGTGGCAGATTTCTTTATTGTTAGTTTTAAAACGTCTATTAATTAATGAAACTGAATAATGAAATACACATTACCTTCGGAAAGCGTTTTTTTCAAAATATGTTTACTTACTCATTTGAACTTTAAGCGTAAATAACATATAAGTTTAATTTATTTATCGTTTTAATTTGTTCATGTTTTTAGCTAAGTGCGTCATTGGATAACGAGTGGATAGAGGAGGGGGGGGGGTAGAAAACATAAAGCGATCATCATTGAGTACAAAATTTGAAATTGGTTACGGGAATTGATGGAGCCCCAGCACTTCATAGGAATCAAATGTAATTTGTTATTAAACTTAGGAGGTCCAGCTTTGCATATAGTACATAGATCCGCTAATGCGCAATAATAGAAAAAAACTAAGGAACTTGTGGTGGCGCACGCAACATTAATACATCCAGGTTGTCGTTAAGTGAGCCGCCCCGCACTGATGCACGTCTTCATACGTGCGGTCTGCGGGCATTTTCGCAGCGGCTGGGTGGTGAAAAGACGAAAAATCGGCGGGAATAAATCGCCGTTGGCGCTTCTTACATGTTTCACAACGACGGCGGGGATCCAGGGGCGGCCTTGCGGCAGCCAATAGATGATCTCAGGAGGCGGAGCCAAAGCACGCGGCCCCCAACGCTCCGCCGACCACCTCCGTCGCGGCAACCGGGGTGAGCCGATCGAGGGTTGCGGTGGACGTCCCTGGCTCACGTGACGTCGTCGCCTCGTCAATTACGCGAATAAGTACGTATTTTTCGAGCTATCGCGTTCGATATACGTGATAAGAGCGAAACGGACAGAGGCGCACGCGTCCCGATGCGCAAATTGAAAGGATCGATTGCCAGCTAGAATCTTAACTTATAGCTCTCTCTCTCTCTCTCTCTCTCTCTCTCTCTCTCTCTCTCTCTCCATTTCTCATTTATATATATATATATATATATATATATATATATATATATATATATATATATGTCTCTGTCTTCGTTTCTTTGTTTTTTCCTTGTCTAATCGGCTTTGTTTCTTGCGCCTTTTCTCATTCGTCTATCCTGCTTTCGACGAAACCTCCCTAAATGTGAGGAAATCACGCTAAATGACTGCAGATCAAAAACGCCGACAAATCCAGTGGCGAGTAGCTATCACAGTAATTTAGCTGGATCGCACCTCTTTTTGTTAGAATAGAAAAGCCGCATCGCTACACTCGCAACGTACGAGCGTCTTATACCCAACTCGCTAACTCATACACCTACAAATATTATTATTCATTAATTAAACAAGAAAACTACTATTTCTTATAAATTCTTGTAAGAAAGAAGTTTGGAGGAAAATTATTTCCAAAGTCAAATATCTACAGACACATTACTTTTATTCAAAGTTATTATTATTTCAAGTTAAACGTTTTTCTAACGAATCTTAATGCAACCACTTTAGGTCGAATTATTTAAACAGAAAATATGTAACTTTATATTTGAATTTTGGAGAAACTTAATAGAGTAATGGAACATTTTCCCTTTATTCTTCCATAATAAATTAAACGTCAATATCCTTGCAATTTTGTGCACTATTTTATAAATGAATACTCATACCAATGGCATATGGGTATTAACTTACATATCAATCATACCTCCATATCATCTTTGTATAATTGTATAATTATATACTGTGCAAGATTACATAATCTGTGAATATATTATCCATTTACCCTCTTACTTGCTTATGAATAATTTAAAAAAAGCTACGATTAAATTTTATTATTTTTCATAGGGACATATGGCAAGATAGATAAATTGATAAATCATTTGTAGATTTCATAAATAACCCACAGTTTTCAGATTTGGAAAATTTTTTTTTTTGTATATTTCCATTATTATTTTCTCTTTAGGACTCACTATCTCAGTTATATTAATCTTTCAATATGATAGTTTGTAAATTATGTAAATTACCTATCATTGTGCGTATATTGTTAAATTAAAATTTATAGAAGTTGACTAATTCATTGAATTACAGAGCACGGCAGTTGAGTGGATTATAGGAATGATAAAACAAATTAAATGTACCTATGATGAAGGTAAGATAAATAGTATTTAATAGGCGGTGTGTTAATTACATCTATAGTTCTTAAAATATAATCTTAACTTAAAATATCATTAAAATTCCATATTAACCAACAAGTAAATAAATATAATTATTATGTATACTTATAATTCATAATTATTAATTATATTCAAATAAACTAGTAACGCGTAACTATGTACACTGATTAAAATGATTTTTTTTTATAACGCCAAATATGGTGCACAACTTCCAAAATATTGTTGTACATTAAAGAATACAGTTATTTTAATAGTAATTTAAATATTTGCTAAATTTAAGAAAATTATTGAATTAAAGTTATATATAAAATAGAACTTTAATTCACCACCATTTTATTATACAAATTTATTTTCCAATGATATTTCGTAGCTAAAAGTCTATAAAAAAAAATATATATATATATATATATATATATATATATATATATGAAAATTCAGTTCAGGGAAATTTTTCGATGAAATATTCAATAAATTATGAGAAAGCTGCTCGATGCACAGTGGTTATAATGTGAAGAAGAGGAGGAATAATTTAATTCGATAATAGTGTATTACGGAATAGAGGTGGTCAGCTCATCCCTCATTGGCAATACTCGAAAAATTCAATTTTGTTCGGCGTCCGATTCGATTTAGTAGACCGATAAAAAAGTCAGCAAATTCGTAGATTAAATTCGACGTAAAAAAGGGAAAAGTGCAGCAGGGGCTCCGTCGAAAAATGTAATCGTAATTGCGGTTGGGTGCAAAAACGGTAGTGAAAGGCAAGGAAAGGCACGGATGAAGCTCCCGCCAGTGGGTGAGTGGTCGGTAAGGCAGTTCCCTTTCCTCCTCGCGCAAAAAGCTCCCACTCCGGTGTCGAGGGTCTGGATGTTAACTACTTCTCGTAAAAATTCCAGCGGGCCGATCGTCATTTTGGCCACGAAGGAGAGCATAGTGCCCCGGCCATGGGACGGGCCTCCCCGAGACTCCGCCCATTATAAACTCCGCGCATTGGCCCCATTAGCCGAGCGATCCCCTTTGATCTTAACCGCTACCGCCCCTCTCTACCGACAGTTGGGCCACTGGCGGCGAGTGAGGGATCCTCGAGCTCAAAACTCCCGTCGCCGTCAAAGCGCTGCGAGTCACAGACCTGAACTGACTCGTTCTGCTCGTCTCTCCCTCGCCTTCTCTTTCTCTCTCCCGTCTCTCCTGTCTCTCCTCTTTTTCCTCTCTGTTGTCTGTCTGTCTGTCTATCGCTCTCTCTCTCTCTTTCTCTCTCTCTCTCTCCCACTGACTCTCTCTTCCTCACAAATTCTCTCTTTGTCTGTTGTCTCTCTCACTCCCGCTGTGTCGCTCTCTCTCTCTCTGTATCTTAATATCAATCTATCTGCCTCTCCCACGCACTCTCTTGAAATCTTTGTGATATTGTCTCTTTGTTCCTCACTTTTGTTTCGCTCTTTATCGCGAGATCGTGAATTCGCCAACAGTGCGTGTTAAGGCTTGAGGCCCGGTTGCCTCATCGGAACAAAGTGTAACCGAGATGGGACTGGGAGTGACTGGGTAACGCGTGACGTGGTGCAGCAGCCGAGACGAGGCATGCGCCGACGACTCGCCACCGTGTGACCCTGGCTTCATCGCTGCGATGAATAGTGCCCAAGTGCGGTGGTGTTGAGACTCGGCTCGTTTACCGTCGCGCCTCGGCGATCGATAATGTGTAGTACGGAGATGACGGAGGCCGCCTACACGATGTCGCCGTCCGCGGCCTCGTCCACGGCCTCCTCCGGGGACTGCTTGGGTTCACCGGGACTCCGTGGCCCGACCGCTCGTGAGTTGCCCGAGGACGAAGACGAGATCTCGGTAGGTTGCCCAAGTCCCTTGCCGCTAGTCGTCGCAGCGGCTGGGCCCCCGGAGGATGCGGACGGCCACAGGCGAGGGGATTACGAGGATCGATTAAGCCCCTCCGCCCTTGAAGAGGAGGAGGAAGAAGAGGAGGAGGAGGAGGAGGAGGAGGAGGGACTGGACGAGGAGGACGAGGAGGACGAGGAGGAGGAGGAGGACAGGTACTCGCGAGACGGAGAGTCAGCGTTTACGCGCGAGATCACCTCGTTGCGTGAAGTAGACGATGAGGAGGAGGAGGTTGTGCGGGAGGACGTCGCGACAGCGACAACGCGAAGAGCCCGGATCGCGACCAACGGCCCGGACGACTATTTTAAGCCGCTCAAGAGGTTGAAGATGGTGCAGGTACAGCAACCACAATCCGAGGACGAGGAGGAGAGCCGCGAGCGCGAGGCCTGCGAACGAGGTGTCAAGTCGTTTAGTATCCTCGACATCCTGTCGCACAGACCGAAGGCGAAGATCGTGCGACCCTGGGACACAACGGAGAGCAACCTCGGGCATCATCACCAGACGGTACACCAGCAGAATCTTCACCATCATCACCACCACCATCACAGCCATCACCACCAACACCAACATCACCGACAACAGCAACAGCATCAGCATCAGCAGCCCCAACAGCAGCAGCAACAACAACAACAACAACAACAACAACAACAACAACAACAACAACAACAACAACAACAACAACAACAACAACAACAACAACAACAACAACAACAACAACAACAACAACAACAACAACAACAACAACAACAACAACAACAACAACAACAACAACAACAACAACAACAACAACAACAACAACAACAACAACAACAACAACAACAACAACAACAACAACAACAACAACAACAACAACAACAACAACAACAACAACAACAACAACAACAACAACAACAACAACAACAACAACAACAACAACAACAACAACAACAACAACAACAACAACAACAACAACAACAACAACAACAACAACAACAACAACAACAACAACAACAACAACAACAACAACAACAACAACAACAACAACAACAACAACAACAACAACAACAACAACAACAACAACAACAACAACAACAACAACAACAACAACAACAACAACAACAACAACAACAACAACAACAACAACAACAACAACAACAACAACAACAACAACAACAACAACAACAACAACAACAACAACAACAGCAGCAGCAGCAGCACCAACAGCAGCACCAGCGACACACACATCCGCAGCAGCACTTGCATCATTCGGGTGCCAGGGATCTTTCCCTTATTGGCATGTCCCTGGCTTCCATTTCCGGCTCCGTTAGCGAACCACCACTCAGTAGTTCGTCATCCTCGGGTCGGAGTTCCGTCTCTGACTCCGGCAGCCCGGATCCCCTCGTTCATCATCACAGTGTACACCACGGGCTCCACTCGGCACTCGGGCACCCGGGGCTCCAACAGCAGCAGCAACAGCAGCAGCAACATCATCATCATCATCATCACCACCACCACCACCAACAGCAGCAGCAACAACAGCAGCAGCAACAGCAGCAGCAGCAGCAACAACAACAGCAGCAATTCAAAAGAAAAAGCTCACAGCAGCACGGATCACAGGCGGGTCACAATGGCAAAAGGACTCCTGGACAAGGCAGTCCACTTGACGCTCTTTTTCAAATGACGAGCAAAACCTTTGACGCCGGCGAGCATAGCCAAGGTAACGTATGTCTTGGCGATGCTGATCATCGATAATCAGCACAATCGAATTTCCATTTATGTTTATTGGCATCTCTTATTTCCAATCAAAATTATAAATTCTTATCCGCAGTGAGTATTTACTAGCCAAATACTCGCGTAATCATATATCTATTTATTCGTTTGAGAGGTTAAACATAATCTTGCGGCAATAGGGGAGCGATTCCAAAGGAGATTATTATAATGTTCGTTGAAATTATTTAAGCAGATTTACTTTATGAACATAGTTTTCCTCTATAATTAGTCTCGTCCGTAATTGTTTACGCGATACTTTGTTTTATTATCTACAAAATGTATCTTGCCAACTTAATGATTGTAGACGCTTACACATCGAAGGGATAAATAAATACAATTTTATAACCCGTCTTCTGCTTTGAATTTTTAGTCAGTAATATACAATATTTATAATATAATTATTATTTTTTAACATTATAGAATTGATAAAGAGCAAATTTTTTTTTTTTTTTTTTTTTTTTTTACAAAACTATTACACAGCATAGATAGGTGTAGCATAGATTTGCATTGAGTGTAATATTTAGTTACCATTATATGATTTTTCTGACCTAAAAACATTATTTTTTGTCAAATTATTTTACAGAAAAGTTTGACAGAAGACTACCAGTCCGCTTCGTATAATAATGGCTGTCTAATATGGCGAACTATGTTTTTGTAATAGAATTATAAGCTTAAGAATTGCTTTTTATCCGTTTGTGATGCAACCGGAAACATTTTATAAATAAATGAAAGATTTTTTTTTTAAATATTCATAGCAAGTTTCATGAATGAGTAGGCACAAAATAATTATTTTGTATAATTTATAAATAACAATAATAGAAAGATGATTATATTTTCGAGCGATTGTCACTACAGCAATAGTGGCGATAAAAAAAAAGAAAAAAAAAGAAGTTGATTAATAATTTCGTGAGCCGTGTGTAGGTGGATAAGCTAAAGTATGTTGTTTACGTATTTTTGAAAGATCCGAGAGGGGGAAATATAAATGGTCGCCCACCACCTCGCGTATTTGCATTTATAACTACATAGAATTTTAACGATTTAACGAGTCATAGACTCCAGAGGAAAAATGAGAGTGTGAAACAGTTTTTTTTTTTTATTGTTACTATTTGGCTTTGAGGGCGTCCGACAGTAGTTGGCCTTGAAAAGGAGCCGGCGATTGGAAAACTGCTCGAGACCAATTTCGTTCACGACGAACAGAGGAAGGAGAGGGACGAAGCGGTCCGTTTCCGTAAACAAGAGCTCGTCAGTATGCAACGGCGAGCGGTCAGATTAAAAATCTCGGTGAATCACCTAATGATGATCGTAAAATTAAAGGTCTCTCGCCGATAATGGATAATAGAGGCGAGGAAATGTTTAAAGGAAAGCAAAGAAACGAGAAGTACGGTTATGCCCCCGGTGAGAAGGAGGACCTAAGTAAAGAGAAATATCCCCGAAGGTTCTGCTAGCCCCGCGTGATCGACCATTGTTTACGATGGGTTCTACAAAGCATTTTACAACATGGCACTTTTTCACTTCGCCACCGAGGAAACGCTTTTTCTCCGACTCTATTTTCACTATTCCCAGAAATATCGAAATTAATTGTCGCTCCTTGCTTCAATTATTGTTTTACAAGTCGGCCGATCGCTCGATGATACACGACAGTTCGGGCCTCGGCCCAGGTAGAGCCGCTATTCTTCTTTTTTACTCCGACTCGGATGCGTGCGATAAGTCTTCGAGAGAGGATTTCCGACGGAAGCCCGGCCGTCGGGAAAAGTGTTTCCCTTACATATTTACGAAATACCGCGGCTAAACAAATTTAATTTATCAAAACGTAACGCAAGCTCACGACTATCTGCTCACCTCATAATTAATATCCGATATTTTAATACCAATACGTGTAGTGAAAATCTTCAGTCACGATTGAGAAACTGATGATAAACAATGTGCGGGGCGATAAATTAATTTTCAGCATGAAAAAAAAACCTTATGGACTCGATATTGAGAACGTAAGGTGCCGAAAGTTTAGGGATAATTTTGTTTTTATGGGAACACGCGGCAAAATACAAAGCCAATTTGGTTCACATGCGGCTATTCATTCTTCCTTTAGAGTTCCGGCCTCCCCTCTCCCCTCGACCTTTGCCTTTTGCCGCACCCGCACCTTCTGCGCTCCCACCCCTTTCTTATTTCTTCTCTTGCCTCCCACCAATTTCCCATTCCTCGCTCATGCGGTCGCGCGAAAATCACAAATGATATCGAAAGCGAATTGCTCGCAATATTATTCGCAGATACGTGTTCCATTACGAATTACAGCCCCTGAGATTCAAATTAGGTTATATCCCCACCCTCTCACTTCACATTGCAGCAACTTAGAAATCAACTTGAACAATTGACTTCTGTCGAGTCATTGCCGCGCACTGTACGGTAGCCTCACGTATTTGCAATTTACTTCCGATTATTATATACTTCTTTATACTTTGATCCTTTGCATTATTATGTTCCTCCAGCAGCACTACTCTTCAGCCTCTCATTCTTATACCTATTCTATCCACTCTTATATTTCATCTTCTTCTCCTGCTTTCTTTCATCCTTTCCTTTTGTACTGCTTTTGCTCTACACAGAGCTTCATAAGAGAAATTACCAATAACTGATTTACTAACATGAAAACATGGTAATTTTGCTTCGAAATTAAATATAGTTCTTCATAAAAATCTCGTCCATCTGTATCCTTATTAATGTTCACTGTAATACCGAATTTATATCTTTCTTGTCGCTTAAAGCTACATTATTCGTGCATTTGCTTAATTAGTATAATTAAAATTATTACATAAAAATATTATTCTCAAAATATCTTAGAAGCATTTAGAAGAAAAATATTTAGAAGCACATTAAATGACGTCTCAAATTATTTATTATACATTTATTAAATATTTTAAATATTTATTATAAATATAATAATTAAATAATTATTACACACACACACACACACACACACACACACACACACACACACACACACACACACACACATATAAATTGATCATAGCAATGCTAAGGACTATTATTATATACAAAAACAATTGAAATATCATCAAAATATATTGTTGCATAAAAATTAGTTACAACATTAATATAGATTGTCCGACGTTTGCTGTGATGATAGTTTTCACTGCAGTTCTACAGCAACCCTCTGTATGTGTATAAATTTTCATTTATACGCAAAAGCACATGGGGCACCGTATGCTTTTTGCGATAAGTATTACAATTTTTTCCACGAATTAGCTAATCATCGAATCGTTTAACATATACATACCCACACTATAAAAATTCTATTTATATTCTATATACTTTTTTTTTTATTATTGTTATTGATAGAATATTAATCATTGCATCGAGCATGTATAAAATGTTCATCAAAATATGTCTAATAATATTATAATTACTCATATTGTTATAAATTATACATATTTATATGTAAATGTTTATATTTATTTATTTATATATAACTATGTATATATTTATGTATATATATATATATATATATATATATATATATATATATATATATATATATATACATTTATATATAACTATACTTATCTGTACAATAATAAATGTTTACGATCGTGTGTAGATAAAAATTGTCATACAGTTTTCAATTACAAGCGTAAAAATTAAGTGTAAAAATTGACAATGACATTTAATTTCATAGAAACGTAGTCCTGTGAGGTAACTGTATAATATGCTAATTCTGATTTTTAAAATGAAATTTGTTATATATTTAAAAATTTTGTGCAAGCCAAGTAGTTGTACGGCTACATATCCAATAATAATTAAATTATTCTAATTTGTTGCCTAGGCTCGGCATACGCCGCAACGAAGTCTTTAAAATATATTGATAACGCGATGTCTCATACATTATATAGTAAACAATTCAGATGAATATTGTTAAGGGGACATTTATTTTCAATTGTCATATGCATTATTAGGCTTATTAACGTATGTGAGATTAAATGTACATAGTCCAAAGATCACGTATTTATAGAATACGAATGTAATCGTAAATCATAAGTAGAAGGGAAATGGTCGCTGTAAAAGAAGCAATGTGCGGAGGATATGTTACCCGCGCTAAGAGTGGCGTGTCAAAGGGAGTAAAAGACGCAATCGAAAGGTATAATTTGTTTCTTTTATTTGGCGTGAAAGGTGTCCGTCGGCCAATAGGGCGGTCGAGAAGTATTTTGCAATAAATGTTGGGTCAACTTTCTTAGGGAGAACTTTCCAGCCGAATAATAGAGCACGAAATTTCAAAGACGAACAGCGCTAATTGAGACGTTCCCAAACTGTCTTCCATCGCACAGCAAATTACGCTCGTACGAGATCTTGGAGCTAGATTTTTCGGAAAACTCGCGGGAAAGATCGTGGAGTTGTTATGACAGTATGTTGGTCAAACAAATTTAATACCCGCCTATGTTATACGATCGGAGAAGCTCCTGCTGTTAAGTGGCCTCCTTCTACTTTCCAAACAAAACTATCGATTTTGAGTTGAGGCAAACGCTACTGGTCTTACGCATTTTCAACTTTTATCTTTCTCCGCTCCTTCGTCTCCTTCCCCCATCCGAGCTGCTTCCTCTTCAAACGCCGCGCGGTCCTATAAAAGCTGTCTTATTACTTAAAAATTACAGCGTTTCCAAACCGACGCTTCTTTTACCTTGTTCCGTCTTTTTAGCATCACTTTTACTCCCAATCCTTGACGGTTCATGCAAATTTAGTAAAGCACGCAGGATTATTTATAAAGCTTCATAATGCGAGATGGGGCCTATATTTCAAACGCAATGAGACTTTTCAATATTATCGGGAAGTTGAGATTGTGAAATTGTGAAAATTTACGGACAATAGAATTTGAAAATTCACCCAAAAAGCGACTGTAGTTTCATTTATGTAGGACGGGGCGGGAGAGGGGGAATCACGTTT